TTCTAGAGTTGAGTCCTCCGAGCGTAAGAAAGCTTCTATGAGGTTTTTGTCAAATGAAATAATACGGTTTTGACAGGAAAATGTTCTCAAGGGTTCCCAATTAGCAGTTCATTCGGTTTTTTGGTAAGAGATCATCAGGGCTTGACAGTATAATGGTTCAAAGACAAGTAAACGGGTCCGAGGAAAAAAATATTTGGACGGCCCGTTGAATAGCATTGGTTGATCGGTGTGCTGTACTATGGTACATCCGAGTGATTTCAAAAAGCGAGCCCTACTGGCACGCTTAAAAAAACGCAGTAGTAACACCTTGAAAAAACGGCGGGGTTTTCAATTTTTGCCCATTTTTTTCAAAGTTGTTTCCCACGGCTCGGATTTGTTGCATAACGCTGAGCTTGCCCCTCCCCTCCGCTAAGTGCCTTACTTAATACTTGAACGGCCCATAGCCTCGAGCTAGTTGCGATGAAAAGGCAACGTTCTTTAAGAACTTATTCGGGGCTACATCATCACAGTTACTTACGTAAACAGTTTCATAAAGGAAACAATTGGCAACCGATAAACTTTACATGCAAGAGGTAGTCAGATTTTTGGTGGCTGCAAATCTATTAAAATCTTACTTTTTGCCACATCATCACAGTCATTTACGTGCGAACAATTTAAAAAGAAAACAGTTGGCAACCCGTAAACTTTACATGCAAGAGGCAGTAAGATTTTTGGTGACTACAAATCTTTTAAAATCTTTCTTTTTCCGTCTCAATGCGCGCTGAAAGTTTCAGCGCTTCCCCGACTCGCGGAAAAAAGGGAACTGTGGACGAAACAGCTGCACTCACTTGTCGAATAATTTGTATGGGGGATGTTCTCGAGAGACAGCTCGGAAAATAAGTTCCGCCGAAGTTGCGGACATACTTCACTCTCTCGAATGTTTGCGGGGTTCTTAATAACTGCAATAAATCAACATCAGGATATTAATCCCCCGCTCCGGGGCCGCGGTTCAGTGCCAAAAAGCGCAGGAAGGGAAAAGTATTATTTTGGTCCTCGGAAGTTCCCGGATCCCGAATCTCGAGACACACATTCGGCGGACAGCGCACTAGACTTACGGTTTCTTCTGCTTTTGATGCTCCTATAATTGGACCGATTATTTTCCAAATCACATAAGCGCCAATCTCTGTTTTGTTGGTAGAGGGGCTGTTTTTTCTTTGTTTTCTCTGGTAAAATTAATCATGTCCGATTTCAAAATAGCCTGCTGATACTGCCGTGCCAAGGAAGAACGCCGTATGAGCATTCAGACGTTGTCAAGTTTCTTTCGATAAAGAACCGAATTTGTCGGGAAAATTGTGAATATTTTGTTCCAAAATTGTCGGACAGTTTGGTACCCAAGTTCATCTAAAATAGTTAGTTAGTTAATTTTATTTAACGACGATCAGCATCTAGGCTATTTACGTCGGGGACTAGGCAATTTTAAATTTTTAAATTTAGTTTCTTGAAGAGTTTTAAAATTTCTGTTACTACCATTGGACTATCTGAACACAAAGGGTGCTCTGAAAATTTCAAGGAAAAATATGCATGAATGTCGTCAAAAGTATATATTTTATCAAGGGAAAGCACGCAACTCTCGAATGATCATACGGCGTTCTTCCTTAGCATGGCCGAATAGAACATACATTGAATGAAATACATTGATCACACATTGACCTTGACCAGGACAAAAAACCGTAGGTCCAAACAATCACGTCGAATTTTTAGTTTTTGTAGGTCAAATTGAACAGTTTTCGCGTCGACTTGACCATACGCGTTTCACGCCGACCAGCGGCCGCACCGTGTAAGGCGCAATGCGTGAAGTATTTCCGCACTCTTGTAGGCGCTAATAGGCCCTCCGCGCCGACCAGCGACCGCACTGTTTGCCGCGCAATGCGTGAAGTATTCCTGCAGTCTTGTAGGCGCTAATATGCATTCCGTGCTGACCAGCGACTGCTTTGAGTTTGATGCAACGCGTGACGGCGTGAAGCACTCTTGTAGGCGCGAATATTTTACTTTTGAGGTAGGAAGGAAATTCTCAGAATATGTTTTCACTAAAACCTAGTTTCCTCATGTTGTTTTATCATCTCCGTCAATTTGTCAGATGATTCATTCTCATTCTTCCATTTGAGCCTGCATTATTTTCGTTTACTCACCCAAGAAAATCAAATTCAATTGCGATCACTATCCTACCGCCCCGATTGCAGAATTCGTCTTGATTCCGTGCAAGATCGATTTTCCGGATAATTCTCGTTGAATCAAACGGCAACGTTGTGGAAAATTGAAAGAAAAGCTCCGTGAGGAATATAAATTATCCCTGTCTACAATCCTGCAAAACGACGACGCGCATCCATAATGTCTCCGTCATATAACCCCGCAATCCCTCTCACTACCCCCTCCACTGTCCCTCCGCAGGGCTGGTTTTCTATTTTATTTATTTTTTTAAAGAGTCATGGCACTTCCCGCCAACGGAAACCGCAATTCATCTAGATGTGCAATCACATCAACTTCGAAACCGTTAATCCTGCAATCTTGTCAACTCTGCATCTCCTCGAATTCCCTGGATACAACAGCATTAATCATTCGCCAAGGGTTTTCTAGATTTATTGCATGCTCTAGCGTTTGACATTGTTTTACCAGTATCATTCTCGTCTCAAAACTTATTGCGGCAATCATGTTCCTCAGGGGGCAATGAGATCGACGGGAGAATAAGACATTGTTTCAACCACATTTTGCAACAAGGAACCAGTTTTCCTGCCTCATTTTAGAAACAACTTATATGCCGTTGGTTTTCCCATGCAGAAAGGTGCTTTTATGGACGGTCCGGAGATATTGGTTCCTTTTTGCAAAAGGAAATCCGTTTGTAAGAATCTCAAATTAAAAGTCTCAGAACGGTATTTTGAAGCGGAATTATTTGTTAAACAAAGCTAACCTAAGCTTTCACGCACCCCTTAAAATTTTTCTGAGCGAAGAGCCTGCTGCTCATGTTCGACTCTTGCATTAGGAACAACTTTTTTGGTACTCTGCGTTATGAGGATGTAACCGGAACAGTGAGGGGGGGGGGAGGAGTCACAGAAAACGGTGAGTGAGTAGAGATTTTTACCCACTAGAGTCGCGAGAGTAAACAAAAATGGAAAATCCGAAATTCTCATATCATTTGATGAATTACGCCAATTTTAAAAGATCGATAAGTTGAGTTCCTTGTATCAGAATGATGTGCAATTTTCAGCGCAAAGAAAAATAACTGCTATTCATTTCAATTTTATTGCAATAAATACTAATAAGAGGAGCCCTTTCAATCAGTGCACAGGCAACTTACACAAAATTTCAATTCAAAAGCAGGAATTTTACCATGCTGTCGCAATTTAAGTCAATCTATTCTTCTTGTGTTGTATCTTATAACGTCATAATGGTGCATAAAAAGGTTGCGAAATCTTAGCTGGCACCATCACTTGGTGTTTTTTCACCCTCTTTCTCACTACTATATATTTAGACAGGGGTTTTTCACAATTTTAATCGCGGTTTTTCAAAGATTTAGGGATCTCCTTTGGTCAAACTGCAAACACATCCTTTCCAAATTTTGATCCTTTATAGAGCCCCTTTTTTATGAGGTATCTAGTAAAACGATGCTGCGTCCACCACCATTTCGCGGGGAAAACAATGCCAAGAAGTTCCAAATATTTTTGTGTCAGGAAATTTTCCTGTATTTCATTATTTCAAAGGAAGCTGTGGCTTAAAACCAGCAGAGATAAATACGATGCAAATATGCTATATTTAGACATGCTCAAAGCTGGGGAAAAGGAAACAAAAGAGGACAAGGAGAAGAGGAAGAAGAAACTTCATGTCATCCCTTTCTCTTACTCCAGGACAAAGAAATCTCGTAGCAGTGTACCCACCCGCGCGGTGCAGGAGCAGGACTCAGGAATACTTAGAGATTTGTTTTTATCATTTTTTTCCATCTCTGTGAAGTTATTCGTGCTCACTCGTGTTTTATACTCAAGTTCTAACTTATCCTTTTCGATGCTGAATGCATTACCGAGGGGTACAAAAAGCAATCGAGCTAAATAAATATGCGTTCCGCCGTTTTGCCGCAGCAATTGCAGTGCTCCATTCGCCGTTTATGAATACTCCCTTTGAAGGTATATGTATGTAAAGTGAACCAAGACCATGATTCATTCGCGATCCCTTCAAAACAAATAACGACGTATTTTGCAGGTTCTCACTTGGTTATATAGTGCAACATGAGAGATTCCAATTACTTTTTCACTCGCGGACTTTCAAAGAGTCTCGGTTGCAACAATGAGACTTTTTGTGGTCCTTTTAAAAAAGAAAATGGCTAAAATGACTTTTTCTGGTCGGGAGTATGATTGGTTGATCTTCTTTGTCACGAAAACCAATGACATTTTATACTTCAAACAATTTTCTGTACAATTGGTGGGCCTCACGGATGAAAGAGCCAAATAATGTTAAAGAAAAAGATGATTGGTTGATCTCCTTTGTTACGAAAACCAATGACTTTTTTTTTTTACTTAAAATTGTTTTCTGTTGAATTGGGGGGTCTCACGGATAAAAGAGCGAAATGATTTTTTAAAAAAATGAAGGAAAAAAATGATGCTGATAATTTTGAATAAAACTTGTGAAGCGGCGGATATTTTGTGCAGCGATTTAAAAAATGCAGACTAACTTTAGAAGGAAGCTCATTATTTCGCCTTAATATTTAAGTTTGAAGCTCGTTTATCTTGAAGTATCCGTGTGATTTTTCAACCTCAAAAGTGTTTTTTCACAAATGTCATTTGAATTCTCATCGGCATGAATTCTTTCAGATACTGACATTTTTTTTCTCAATACTCATACCGTTTTTAGTAAATCTGTGTGAGAGTAGATGTTTTTAATTTACTGATACGTGGAAATTCTTTCCCCAACAGTGTTCCCTCGCCATAATCAGAGCTTAATAATTGAGTTAACCTTTGCTTTTTTTTCTTTTCCAGGGAACTTGCCAGGTCGAGAGAACAGGACGACGACAGCGATTAATGATCAAACACAAGGGTTCTGTAGGGTTCTTTCCACATTCCTCCTTGAGGGAACCTAGCCTGCAAATTTGGAGCACCTCGAGCAAGAATCAAAAAGTAAGGTCCTAGTTTCTTTAATTCATTCTTTACTCTCAGAACTGTCCAATTCCCTAAATTAAAGGCCTATCCTTTGAAAAATTCTTTTAAGATTTTAACGATTTGAAATAATACCTTTCCTTTGGAAATAGAAAGTAAAACAATAATTGGACGTATTTCTATCAAACGGACCTAAGCGCCATAGGGTGAAGAAGGTAGAGGAGGGCTTGGATTGGCGGCGGAATCAGGCGTCCGGCTTATTCCGTCCTATACTCGCAATGCTTTTCCATGGCGCTTAGGTCCGTTTGACAGAACGCGCTATCCGGGATTCTAAATTCCTCAAAAAGAATTCAAATTGTCGCTTAGTTCCGTTTGATAGAAATACGTCCAATTTATCAAATGAACTGATCATTCATTAAATTGCAGTAAAATTGTATCATGATTTTTAGGAAGTATGAAAGTAATAGTTTTAAAAAGAAACTTTTTTTCTCATCAATGCGTTCAAGCTGTGTAAAATTATGAATTTTAATTTTTCCTTAAAAAACTAGGAAGTATTGCAAAATGTTGTTTAAACAGGCGTTTTTAGCGTGATAATGGCTTTCAGAAAATGTAAAACATGATCAGAGTTTTTTCAAATTAAACTCTAGTTATCACCCTCGAAGTGCCGCGCCGGGACGCTGAAACAAGACCTCCTTTCTGGTACCTAGGAGCTGGCCGATTCCCTTAATAGCCCATTTTTTATTCCGATATGAAAAACTAATGCATCGTTCCTTACTTTCTCCAGCCCCTTCAGCTTTTTACCGTATACCGTATACCGCATACCGTATACGATTTTCTTGGGGAGGAAAGGGGCCCAGGTCGGAAAAATCGGCTGTTTAAAACTGCTTGCGCGGTCCCTCAGGAAGAATTTTCTATGAGCCGCAACTCTAACTCAGAAAAACTATCAACGATAGTGGTGTAAGGAAGGAAGAGGGAGAAGGAAAAAGTGTGAATGGGAGAGTAGAGAACACTCGAAGCCTGAGAAGAGAAAAATATATCCTATATGTACTGGTCATACCATTCGTTACCCGTTTTTATGATGATAATCTATGTCAGCATCAAAAACGTTTGTGAACATTCGAAGATGCTAAGATTTTCCTCCTTAGACAGGTGATCCGTCCAAGCTGAGTGAGCGAGAGAACCGCTTGTCTCCTCAATCAGAGTTATTGCTCTATTGCGATGCGCAGTACAGTTATTTTAGCCAGCACTGTAGTAGTCACATCGAATGCGACTTACGTTAATAATTTCTACGGAGAAGAAACATATTGACGGTGCAAGTCGGCAATCACAAAACTCGGTTTGCGACGTCGTGGACTTCTATCATACTTTATTTTTTAAACGAAAAACTACTCAACGGCAATTCTTTAAAACTGCCTAAATTTTTCTTCTCTGTACGAAGAAAATTCTGCTCAAACTTCAAGGAATGATGTCAATTTGTTCTCCTTTAAAAAATAACATAGAGGCGGATGTTTTCAGACACCGCAAACGAGTTATGTGATTGCCGACTTACACCGTCGATATTTGAATCTAAGTGTCAGCACCACAGGAGGCTGGGTCCATCATGAAGATCTTTATTTGTTGTTCAGCTAATTTTATTTTTCGAGTTTCAGAACTTCTCGAGTGGTTCCGTTCGATTCTGACCAACAATCAACAATACGGGACTTAAAAAATAAATCTTCCAAGACTCGTTGATAGCCGGGGTCCTTTTGTATGACCTTCGTGCGCGGAGGGTAAAAAAAAGCCTGTCAGGGACTTGAAACTTTCCAATTCAACGTGAGTCCCATCCCCGCAGTTCGGACGAACTCAAATAAAAAACAAGCAGGAAGCTCCAACGCATTGGCGTCGGAGAGCGGCTCTGCATGGGGGCAGTAGTTGTAGTCAAGAATGAGGGCCTAGACACATTTTGTCATTGATGTACAATCCGACAACTGTCGATTCATGTTTTGTAACTTAGCAGATTTACGTAGCCGGTGTATAAATGTGTATTGGGCTTTGATATGGCGAATACATGGCATTATCACTTGTTGTATACTTTTAATTTTGAAAGCTCTTTGGAGGTCCGCTTCCTAAAAAATCTCTGGTTGATAAGTCGTTTAGCGAGGCTGCAAAAAATTTGCATTTTTATATCTGAAAGTGTAGGTATTGGTTTTTTGTATAATTGTTTTTTTGGATTGCTGGAAAAGTAACGCATACTTCTATAATTTAGGACTGAGTCAGGGAAATATAAGGTTCGTTAAATAGTAAATATTCCTAGTACCGTGTGACACTATTGTTAACGAAAAGTTTTTGCAACTTGTCAAAGAGGTTGTTGAATGATCTTCGAATAACTTTTGATGAGCTAGAGGTAATGGTTCTATCTGCAGCTCGTGGACTTCTGTACGATATTGTCCAGAATCATCT